TTTCTCATTAAATTAAAATAAGGAAAACTTATATCTATTTTTTATTTTATGTATATTTACTATTACGTGATCTTTTATTATCAAATTCCTATTCTATTCTATATTATTTTATCGACAAGCTATAAAGATAAATTACTTCATTCTATAAGTTTATTCTTGCATCGATAATTCCTTTCAAATAATCAAAATACACGAAATTTCATGATCTATCATCTACCAATAATTAATAATATTTGAAATATAAAACGTAATAACTTTTTTCAAAGTTGAACCAAATAATTTTTGAATTTTTTTGAAAGAATGGCGATTGGTTCAAAATAAAATTATTTCCAACTTTTTTATCCGAGCCTATAAAAAAATTTAAAATATATCTTTTGTAGATCTAAATAAATTGTATACATTCATAAAATTTCGTCAAAATTAACGTTGTTATGAAATAATTAAAAATATTCGCAATTTTTCACTATATTTTCCCACTATGAGTGTAATAAATCTAAAAATTTTTACGTTTTTCGATAATTTTTTATGCATCAACCGATTTCAATGAACCTATAACCTATTTAAATGAAAGAAATGTTTAAAATTTTTTAATTAGTAAACTAATTTTCAAAAAAGTTAATCAAAGTTCATTCTTACAAAATTGAACATGATTGAACGAGTCCGTTTAAAATATACCGAAAATATGGATGTCACAGTGAATTGGTTTTAACAATAGCCTGGGCAGAGGAAGATATGCTGCAAAAGAAAGGATGACGATTATGGCTTAGCGCCGATGTAAGGGATTGGCCGAGAAGAGAAGGTTGAATTGGAGCTGATTGGACGTGCGACAAACATCCGGCCGCATTTCGCGTCCCATGGCCGAGAATGCGCTTCTCTCTTCTTAATGCAAGCTGTGTTCTACAAAGATCTTGCATATTTAAACGTGACATCGATCACTTTGGATTCGATTGGACAGAGAAATATAATTAAATTAGAGTGAACTAGCTATTATTATTACTATTAGATTATGGATTTCATCGTGGAAGATAAATATGAATATGTTTGTTTGTACAGAAATTGCAGAAAGTTGGAAAACAAATGAGAAGAGTGTTATTCTTTGATGATCCATAACATAAGTCATAGTTAAAATGAATCTATATTTCACTATAATTGTGTTATTTGACTCATCGGTATTTTTGAGGAAATTGTATTTGCATCAGTTTCAAAATTAATACGCGCTATTCCATCGATATCGATATATATCGATATTTTTTTTCCATTTATCGCCTAAATCAGCCCAAAGCGGAAGTTTCCAGAATTCCTTTTCATATCGACACACATGAAGATACCTCGTTACAAGATCTCTTTACCTTGCACAAAATGAAACTCATTCCTAAATCCATAGAAAACCACCATTGAAAACTTCTTTTTTGGATGATAAAAGTTCTCTAGAAGACAATCAATCTATTTTCCAAACATAACCCCGAGCAATACTCGTCATTGCGCATACAGTTTATTATTACACGTATATTTACATTAATATTACACCCTGGACACTCTTGTTACAATTGTTTTCTTTTAAGTTTCTGCTTAAAAGTGCGTGTATATAAAATAGAATAGATAAATAAAAAATAATAAAAGATTTTTCCTCTGGCTAATTTCGTTCTCGAGATCATTCGTTTATAAATAAGATACTTCAAATAAAAATAAATAATAAAAGACAACATAAACTTTTCAAATTTTTTTTTTTTTTTACCAAAATTAACTCGTAATATATTCCCAGAAAAACGATCGATTTCATTTTGATCGAATTGTCGGGAAAAAAATAGCGAGTCGATTCGGTAACCTCGTTAAATATAAATACGAGAGGTTAACTCGAAATATCGGAATTGCGTTAATTGGCAGCCTATGCATGTAAGGTTTCGGCAATACCTAAGCCTGGCAAATCGGGGATTTCGAGCGAGCGTGATTTGGAATATTGCAAAGCTCAAGGGTGGGCGAGGGCTCGAAGGCAATACAGACAGATTCGTGGTTCTGGCCACGTCGATGCGAAATTACATGTCAATGTCCACGCGAGAGTATTAGGTTTCGTGATTGACGATGGTTTACTCCGAACCTACAATTGCTTGCAGAACGGTCATAGGTTATCTATTAAGATTGATCCGTGTCGAGGTAAAGCGCTATATCAATTAACCGAAAAGCTGTTCACCCATCTGTCCAGGATCTAGGAAGCCCAAGCCCTTCTGATCCTGATCTCCAAGGGTATCGATTACTCGATTAAATTAATAAATTAAGTGCAACGATTGAATTCTTACCTTCCTTTCAGATTGTAACTTTTTTTTTTTTTTTTCTTTTTGAATTTGTCGGACAACTCAATTGATAGATGTATAATTCTTTATGATTCATAAATTTGTATAAATTATATTCTATATATAGCAATCCGTTTCATTCCATTTGAGAGGAATAAATTTTCAAATTCGAAGAGAAATGCAAATAAAGTGAAATAATAAAAGCAATTTAAATAATATTAATTCTCGTCTTAGAAAACATCCATTAAGAATATAACGATTGAAAAATTCCAACGATGTCAATAATCAAGATGTTATAAAATGTATCGATTCTTTCGAAAAATCTGGCGCCATATTGCCGCGCGATTAAGACGCAGGACCCCGAGGAAACCGAGCAACTGCCGGCAACACAATTTGGCGTTACGTAATTACGCCCCCGCACCGAAATATAACGCCGAATTTCCAGAATGCTCTCGCTTTCGCACACACACACACGTCGCCTTCGGGTTATCCGAGCCCAGATTGGGTCCATATCGAGCGTTTGGCCCGTGGGGTTATTCGTCTTCCCGAATTAACCCTGCAACTAGTCAGACGAGTCCAAGAACTGCGAGAGGCGATCGTTGCCAAGATTGAGGAAAATTGAGGATGAACGGGGCGAGGATTTTGGGAAACGGAAGACTCGTAATGGGGGTGATTGAAAGGCAGATTTTGGAAAGATATTTTGGAGGGATGATTTTTTAAATTTTTGTTCTAGAATTGACAGTTGAATATAGAGATTCATTGAATAATACGTGTGTACTCTTTTAGAAGAGTAGAGATTTTACTTGGCAATTCGTCGTCAAATCACGAAACCAGAAGTTAAATATTTCACTCTCACTTCGAACTTAAATTAAATAAAAACTCGTTTAAATGTGAATCGATTAAATGGCTTGTAATATAAATTTGGGCTAAAGTTTTTCTTAATCTAATTTAAACTGTTTCAAAGAAACGTCCTTGTTGCTAACTTTTCAACGAATACCAATAAAATCTTTACAACACGACTCGAGGTAATGATATTGATAACGCGGTTAAAAAATTGATCCTGATATTCTTACGTTTAATTAAAACGTGATATCGGCTGCGTTTCGTTTCCAAATTTAATTCGAAATTATTTCTTATTAAGATAACAAGCACGCAACGACTTCAAAGAGTGGCAATCGGTCGATCGCCACCCAAGATTTTCGATTTCGTGTCATAAATCGTTCCCGGACATTTAGAGTCTTTGTCACCGTTTCTCGTGCATAGCGCGTAATAATAACTCGTTTCGTGCGTGGCAAATATTATTTATCGTTTGTGGTCGGAAGAAAATTTTATTGCCGAATCAAGCAAACTTGTTATTCATCGTACTTCGTGTCTAAAATCTTTTCTCGAGTTTATAAAATTCGTCTCTTTTCGATATAAAATTAATCCTATTTCAAAATTGATATTTTTTTCCCTTTAAAAATACGTATTTTGAATTTAACGTTAAAATTTAATGGAGATAATTCATTTTTAAAATTGTATCGCAATTATATTAAAGCTTATATAAATTTGACGTTCGGTTTATATAATATTAATCGGACAAATCGAGATGGTGATTTTAATGAAATTATTTCTTTTGATATGTGAACAGTAATAATCTATTATCAATTCGATGTTACGTCTTTTTCCCCGTGAAATTTTGAGAGTTTGATTACTGGATCACTAGATTTTGATATTATTAATTTATTAATGCAGAAATATTTTTTAAAATTCCAATAATTCTGTGATTTATTGAATCAACCGAAACTAACGTTTTTTTTTTAATTTTCTCAAAAATTTCATATCCCCTCCCCGTTTCCTTAATAATAATTTTCTCATCAAATTCGTAGAATTAAAAGTTGTTTAACCGAAAAATATTTATTACACGATTAATTCATTTTTTATTACGAAAAAAAAAAATATTTAAAACTTATCGACTTAATTTAAAAAAAAAAAAAAAGAAAAAATTCCCTCGTATTAATAAATTTTTCGAGAGATTTAATTACTACCGGTCATACCGATGTTTTTCCAGTTCAGAAATGAATTTCAATTCATCGAACTACCTTTCAATACCTTTTAATACACGTGAATGAGCATATATCGGAAAAATTTTATTTTAAGTCGTGCATTTTATTAAATAATAATATTTGAAGTGAAGAATATATTCCCCGGTATTTTTTTTAATTTAGCTGGACAAAAAAAAACTGGATAAAAACAACAAAGGGAATTTTCCCATAATTAACAATATCCGATAAAAAGAAGAATCGATCTAAAGAAGAAGAAGAAGAAGAAGAAGAAAAAAAGAATTGTTGATAATAATCAACTCGGTAATTCATTACCGGCCACCAGCCCTAATAAATCATAATCCGTTTCTAAAATCTCGTTAAAACTCGCCCCAAACATATTATATCTATGGTCCGGTAACACGAAACGATACGATGATATGGCATAAAAATATATATATATATATATAGGTGCATGGAATGCAATCATATTTTTATTCAAACAATTCGTACAAAATTCAAGAATAAAAAAGAAATTTTTCCAAATTTAATTTTCCTAATTAACCTTCGAAGCATATCTCTATAAAAATCTCGACAAACTCGCTCCATTTCCACGTAAAAAAATGGAGACATCTCTGCATCAAGAGAGAAAAGAAAACAAACAACGTCCGTCAGAATTCGTTCCACTCACCTGGACAGCGGGCTGCTGATGATATAATGCGTGTAATAAAATATACTGGCGACGGAGACGAGGAGTAGCGCCGCGACGCATCGTTTCACCGTGGCCTGCTTGACGACGCAGCGGGGACCGACGGCGCTTAGTAAAGGAACGCCAGCCTCGACCGCGGAAATCTTCATCACCATCGTCTCATTCGACGAGGCGCCGTCCCTGCCGTTGTCTCTCTCTCTCAGATTATCCCCTCTCCTCCTCCTCCTCCTCCTCCCCGCGAAACGAATCACCTGGAATAACGCCGCGACAATCGTCCCTCGCTTCCGGAACAACGATACCCTCCTCTCTTCTTGCCGCCTCGCCGCCGGGCATCGACGCTGCTCATACTCGTCCACCCTCTTCCCCCTTAATATCGAGAGGATATCGAGATTCTCAACCTCGATCGAAAGATCCTCCCGTCTGAGGATCAACAGCGAGCCAATCTAATCTGCTCGAATCTGCTCGAAATCTCGAAGGGGGATCGAGTGAGTATTCTTTCTCAAACAATTAATCAGGGAATTAATCGAAAATTTCCTTCGATACTTTTCTATTAGAAGAGAGACAGAGAGGTGGGGGGGGAGGGGAGCGAAAGAGAGAGAGAGAGAGAGAAGGGGAGAGAATCGATCCCAGTCTTGGTAGAATCTTGATACGAATAAAAATCCTCGAATTTTCTCTTCAGGGGATGATTGCTCGGCTCAGATCGGGTCCTGGATCGAATCCGGCCCGTCCTTTCGAAAGCATCGATGACAACTTGGAATTAAGATCGCCACTTGTTGCGTTTCCACGACGGCAGCACGATCACCATTTTGCACGGGGTCGCGCCCTCCACCGCGATCCGATTTTTAACCCATTTGGCCCCCCGACGTCCTCCCCCTCGATGGATTCACTCGCTCTCCTTTCGTTTCTCAGCGATCTGGATCCTCGACATTCTCCCCTCCTTTAATCGGTAAACACGGACGAATCTTTTCCTCGGTTGTTGTTCGGGACCATATCGTGTGGAGAAAGAGAAATATAATCTCCAAGGAGACGAATTTTTCGGAAACTCGAGGCCGGGTTAGCCGATTTTACGGCGCACCAACTGACTGGCTCAAGATATACCCGGTGTGCTTGCCTCCTAGACGACCGAGTAAACCCGGTTCACTCGTAAATTTCGCCTCCTCCTCCTCTTCTTCGTCCTTGTCTAGCTTTTCTCCACGATGTTCTCAACGTGTTTCGTCGTTTCCTTTTCTTCTCTTCTTCGGCTCCTCCTCCTCCACTCTCTCTACCTGTCAATTAGGGACGATGGAAAGCTACGATGCTTCCCGGCCGGAACGATTTTCGAACGTTTACCCTATCGCCTTTATCGATCTCGTGCAGCGTCGTTGGCTCCCCTTGTTTCACGAGTCTGCAACAGTCAACAGTGGAATGTCCATTGAACGACCAATGAAGAACAAACGGGACGATTTTGTTTCTTGCTTGGGGGGGGGGGGGGAGGGGGGGATCGATCGAGAGTTTCGCGAAAGAAGTTTCGAGAGGAAGATAAAGGTAAGGGAGAAGTATTTTCAAAGTAAAATGGAAAATTGATTATGAATGAATTATGAATATTTTTTTCAAACGAATAGTTACTTTGAATATACATGAAATGTATAAATTTATATTATATATCGTACACTTTCGATTTAAAAAGAAAAGTGATCCTAGTAAAACTAAAACGTTCCATTATGATCATTTCCTTCGTTCAATTATGAGTTTTAAGAATCTCATAAAAAAAGAATTCCAATAACTTGCGTGAGATATATATATATGTGTGTGTGTGTGTATGTCAGCGTTTAGCGACTCGTTTCAAGAGTCTAGTCGATAATAAACCAGCTGAAATAAGATGCAAAAATCGTACGTATATATATATATATAATCAAACGATCGTTCGGTTAATGGTAGGCCCGAGAGTTGCTATCAGGAAACGATTAAACAACGGGGAAGAATGATTCACGACGCTTGACAATTCCAATTAATCGATCGTGTTTCCGTGGAATAGCGTTGCAATTTCAACCATCATCCTCTTTAATTTTTTCCCGTCGTTCGTACATCGGTCGCAGAAAGGAATCCATTAATCAACCATCCCCAGAGAGATCTTTGTCCTCCTCTATCTATCCGCATCGTTTCAAAGAGTATATTCCCTTCAAAAAAGAAAAAGAAGAAGAAGGAGGAGGAAACAAGGAAAGAAGGGGGGAAAAAAGAAAGAAGGAGCGAAGAAATAAATTGAAAATGATCCGGAGAAAGATGGAAGAGTAACGGGAATAGAGAAAGTGGAGGGAAGGGGATCAAGATTTTCTTTTCGAGAAGAATTCTTCCTCCTTGGAATTCGTCGTTGAACATGACTTAACATTTTTTTTTCTTCTCACAACTCAGGAAGAATATAAAACTGACGCTTCTTACGAGACAAGACGCGGAAGAAATCTTGTTGTTGGGAGTCTTGAGAAACGAACGGGAGATTTAATTATGCGATCTTGATGGGTGATGGTTGTTTGAAGAAGAGTTAAGATGTTAAGGAAAAAGACATCTGCTATTTATGAAAATTTTTCTGCGATTTTCTATTTTTAGAAATTTCTTCTTATTTCCGTTCCATTGCTAATTTTTTTAAAAATTAAATCTACGTACAAAAAAATTGCTTCCTCTTTTTTAACAATAAGTGTTAAAACCTCGTCATTGTATCCCAGGAAGAAAATTCATACGACGATGGATCGTTTCCTGATTTTGAATATATTATACGTAATAAACAACAATTGTCAAAATTCTAAATATTTCCAGAACCATCTGAACGTTCATCAACTCTATTCAAAAGATTACTTCGTCAACCTTTATCGATGCATTAAGCAGGGAAAAGTTCAGCGGAACAACGATTCATTTCCAAAAAAAAAAAAAGAAAAAAAAGATATCTATTTTTTCGACTCGAAACGGATCGACGAGAGCTGGCTCTCGATGGAAAAAGTTCGCTCCATCCAACCGGCTTCCGCCAAAAAGACAGAGAAAGAGAAGAAACGAGCGAATCAGCGGCGAGGATAGAGAGAGAGGCCAAAGTGCGCAGAATGCATTTGCCAGATTAAAACGCCATTGGAGTGCATCGAGGCGCCTGTAAATATGCTTGTGGAAGGCCCCTCACCCTCCGATGAAATTGGATCTGCGCGATTCCAGAGCCAGACAAACGAACGTTCTCGCCTCTCGCCTACCCTTTCGGCCGAGCCTCCACGCCGGAAGAAAGATGGCTCCATTCGGAGGAATAATCAGGGGGAGCTCGCGTAATCATTTCGCGGCGATCGAGCAGCGATCTAACCCACTCGGATCCGCCCTTTAAATCCGCGCACGTGATGCATCCGACTAACGACCCACTCGGCGAGCCAAAACGTGTCTCTTGAATTAAGCACCGCTCGGCCTCGTACGTTTCGAGGGGTATACGGGATTACCCGCGACACGATGAATAATTCAGGTAACGAAATATATTATTTATCGGAATTTTTATTATGCCTCGATGAAATTTTTCCTTCGTCTTCTTTAAAGATTTCACAGGAAAGAATCGGGCCAGGCTTGGAGATGACGAGCGAGGTTTGAGGTTTAGAGCAGGCATGTCGAATTACAAGAAGAAAAATATGGAAGGAAATTTTTTCTTTTTTTTTCGAGCTGTAGTTATTTCTAAAATTGCTCGCACACGTTTGTCCCTTGCAATCTTGATCTTTTCTTGTTAGTTTTATTATTTTTTGAAAATGAACATGGATAAAGTATGTTTAATTGTTAATAACATATTGGGAAATCTTTGCATATACTTATAATTTGATTAAAGAATGACAATGCCTGAAAAAATTATTTACTTTCGTTTAACGATATATAATTCTTGACCGGGATCAATCTTACGAATTTATAAAATATAAATTTTATAATTGATTAGAAAATATATGGTTTTTGTATTCTGGTCGCAATCGTTGTTTCGACGAAAAGGGGGATCTTTTTTTTCGAACAGATTCCACGAGGAAACAGTATTTCCGAACGATTTCCCACTGTCACCGTTATTTCTCACCGTGCGGCCGGCCACCTCTTCCCGTTCCTTTCGACGCGAAACAAAGAGCTCTGAAATCAACACCTCCCCAGAGGACATCCCTTTAGAAATTTCTCCACAACTATTTCTTGCGCAAGGACACCATTTGTTAAATTTATCTACTGATAAAATAATAATTGGATCCTTGTAAATATAACAAACATGTTACATAACGATATTGTATTGCAACAATATAACAATGTCGTAATTGTAACGTCGTAATTAACGAGAAGATGTTAAGCGAACATGTTGATTTAAATTCTTTTATGTTGATTTCTATTAAAAATTGAAATTTTCTTCTGCTCCTATTTGAATTTCTCGGTATAAAAAAACAAATCTGAATCCATATTTTTATATTTAGACTTTGCTTTTGAATTTAAATTAATTAATTGTAATTACAAACACGCATAATATATACCGATCCACGAAATACGATTACAAACGATAAACAAAATAAAACAATGAAAATCTTCGAAACTGCTCACTATTTTTTTTCATTCTTTTCCCCCTCCACAAAAAAAAAATACTTTACTTAAACTCAAACTTTCAAAAATTCAAACAATCCTATTAATTCTTAAAATCGAAACAAGAAATAACTTGCGTTATTCACGAATCATCGATCGACACGTTTCAACGTGTCGAGCAAGGGATGATCCCCGGATAAATATAAATCCTTGGTTCAGGTGTATCCAGGAGCGGAAAGGAGGGAAAATGGCGCCCATTTCGACGTGCAATTCGTTTGCAGCACACGCGATAGACGCGTGAAATTAAATCCGCCGTTTCTGTTATATACGTTCCGCCCCCTTCCTTCCTCCCTCCCCCCCGCCTGTTATAATATAACACAGTCCCGACACGTCCGACGAGCGGATTGGTTTACGCGCACGTACGGAAACTGCAAAAATGCCGGGATCGGCAAGTCTCGAGGAGCAAATATTTCTTCGAAATGCTTGTAGGTAAACGGAGGTATTGAAATTTAATTGGAGGCGAGATTGCGAGGAAAAAAGAGACACCGTTTCTAGAGGTGTTGTATTGGGTTTGGATGGATTTTTGGTGTAGCTCGGTGTAATTCGTCGTCGCATTAGGCGAAATGGCGAACTTTTGAAGAGACGAAATTGTACGCGAATTAAAATTTATATTTAATCTCATTCTGACGTATGAGAATCTATGATCTA